AATTGATGGATTTTATTGATGTATCCTTTGAAAATTTCAGATATCAAAATCCATTCTCAATTAAATAGAAATCAAAATCCATTCTCATTTTTTATTCAAAAAATCTAATTGAAAATAATTAGGTCTCATTTGGAATATAAAATTTATAATTTTTAAATACCTTATCATTGAGTTGCCATAAAATCAGCCCACATTTATTGCATGCCGGTAGTTTTTTTTTTTAATTTATTTTAATTTATTAACCCCAAAAATCGATTAACCTTAAATGCACCTTAAAATGATGGGTATTGTAGATTTAATTTTGGTAGATTTCGGTAGTGTTTACGATTTTTTAAAAATCAAAATCTTTTCTCATTTTTTACTCGAAAAATCTGGCTGAATGAAATTTTCAGTTAGAAAAAATACAATCACATATTCTCATATAAATGAACTTCCTATTAAACTACTATTATTTATAGAGCATGATTGGATATAAAAATTTGTTGTTTTGTTTGGATTTTTTTGTTTGGTTTGGTTAGTTTTGAAAAAGGTTGATAATGTTAGTTGTCAGTGGGTATATTAAATTAATATTTAAAATTAAATGATTAAAGTTGATTTGATGTAAAGTAGGAAAGAGAAGATTTGAAGTGATAGTTAGTTAAAATTATGTGAGTTGATGAATAGTGAATTAAGGTGGTGTAGTGTGTAAGAATGATTGATTTGATATTATTTAATTATATTGATGATATTGATGATTGTGGGGTTGAGTTAAAAAAATAGTTGAGTTAAAAATGTTGGGATATTTTTTAGATAATTTTGTATCCAATCATGCTTATATATTTTTGTTTTTTTTTGGCAATATAAAATTCGAATTAACTATAGATTATCAAGAAAGACATTTTACGATATCTGTTATATTTTGCTATGCAATCTTCATAAAACAAATATAAATCATATATGATATATCCTACTAAATAATTTAATTGATTTATTTAAACCTGTCTAGAATCCTAATATATGTAACCTTCACGGCCAGCTTTATGCATGTTTCACGCACTACGAATCTTAAGTGTTTGAAAATTTTAATTTGTGGCGGTAAACGATTTAACAAAAGAGCAAACAAATAATGTTGTATACAAGAATGTGTTTCTTAATATATAAATTACATTTTGTTTTATTCTAATATATGCGTTTTACGTTTTTTGATTCATCTAATCTAAATGCTTACCATAATAAAACTAGCCCGTGCATCGTACGGGTACCACACTAGTTATCATAATGAACTGAGACGAGTGTTTTTATTTCTCAAAAAAAAAAAAAAAAAAATCATGATCTTCTCTAAATTGTTCAGCTATGGTTTGGGTATGTCTACACAGTCGGTCGGTGAGATTTCTTTCCGATTTTGAATTGTATACTTTGAACGACTCTGACTTGTGTAAAGTAATGAATAACTCCATAAAATGTAGTCCGTATTTTGGTAGCAGTGACCGCACATCAAGAAATGGACATCTAAAAAGCAGAATCAGAGTGAGCAACACATCAAATTCCACATTCACACCCATCTATCTATTTGGCATTCCAATAAACCTAACATAGCCTAATATCATCAAATCAAATATATTTATATAAATAGTTTGTTTAAAACTCCACACGTCATGGATGATTTCATTGACTAATTCCTTCCAGCACAGCAAGTGAAACACAAATCAAATCAAGGTGCAACCAGTCTCCGATCCTGTCAAAATCCAAACTGCCGCATACACCATTCATTTTCTTCAGAAATCAAAAGTCTCCATGAGACATGCTGAACATAATTCATATTATTTTATTACAAAAAAGCACCAAACATTTTATAAAGCATCCATTACAACACCGAAAAAGCAGATCATCAAACATCTTTCTTATTATTCCAACACAACACAAAATAAATTGATTTGATAAAACGAGAAATCAGAGCCTCGACGACGACCCGACATTCGGATAATGCACGACTATACGGTTATACGCATGGAGCGTAAGGAAATCATCCAGCTCACTCGCCGTACACTGTCCCGCGAATATCCCGGCAGCCTCCTTATACATACCCTTTCGAAACTTCTCCTTCCCAACTTCCTTCTCGATCCTCGCCATCTCTTCCTCCACCACCCGCCCGAATAAATCCCGTGTCACCCGAACCCCAAGCCTGTCCCCATCAAGCTCCACACCGTACTTGAGCCATTGCCAGTTCTGTACTCGGCTGATCTCAGCTGTGGCTGCATCCTCCATCAAGTTGTACAGCGGAACCGACCCGGACCCGTTTAGCCACGCGGCCACGTACTGTATTCCGACCCTCGTGTTGAGCCTGAGCCCTTCCATGGTTCGGAAGCCACGCGGGATTTGGAGGAGGTCCGATTCGGTCAGGGCAGCTGCGTCCTCTCGCCTGACCGACTCGATTAGGTTGGCCTTTCCCCCCATGTTGTTTGTGAATACCTCCATTATGGCGGGGATAAGGCCCGGGTGGGCTGCCCAAGTCCCGTCGTGACCTGCACGGACTTCGCGCAATTTGTCCTTCTTCACCAGCTCCAGGGCAGCCTCGTTGGCGGCAGGATCGTCCCGGATTGGAATTTGGGCCGCCTGTTTTTTATGTATGCAATCAAATTGGAGTCGGTTAATTTATCTCTTTACACTGAGATATAATTTCTTTTAGGGAGTGTGCGTGTGTGTGTATATATATATACATGTATGTATATACCATTCCACCCATGGCGTGGACGCCTCGGGAGTGACAAGTCATGATGAGGAGATCGGAGTAGCTTCGCATGAAGTGCTGAGTCATGCCGACCTGGACACGGTCAGGAAGGAGGCGGTCCGGGTGGGCTTGGAAGGTCTTGACGTAACTGAAAATATAGTCCCATCTACCGCAGTTGAGTCCGACCGAGTGGTCCTTGAGCTCGTACAGAATCTCGTTCATTTGGAACACGGCTGGCAGAGTCTCGATCAGGACAGTGGCGCGAATGCTGCCCCTCTCGATTCCGGCAGATCTCTCAGCCATCTCAAACACATTGTTCCATATCCTGGCTTCTCTGCAATATATACGAAAAAGGCCATGTACTAACATTAATAAAATCTATTAACAACATTACTACAAGGTACTCTATGAATTACCTAGAGTGCTCCATCTTGGGAAGATAGAAAAATGGGCCAAAGCCCTGGCCCTGACCTCGGCGAAAGGCGGCCCAGTTGTGAAAGAAATAGAGGCCAAAGTCCACCAAGCAGCCGGTAGCCGGCTCGCCGTCGATAAGGATATGAGCCTCTGGCAGGTGCCACCCTCTGGGCCGCACAAACAGGGTAGCTATCCCCTGCTCGTTGAGCTTGTACACTCTGTTGCGCGCCTTGTCATGAAAACTTATGGTTTCATTAACAGCATCACTAAGGTTCACCTGACCCTTCATCAGATTCTCCCAACTTGGCGAAAGCGCATCCTCAAAATCAGCCTGCCCAAGTGCCAACCATTTATTGGTCATAAACGAGCTCACTTCAGCTCCAACTCAAACTCTTAATAAGTCGATACAAACTAGCTCAAGCTCCGCTTGTTTATCAGCTGGGCTCCAGCCTTAAATGACCGATTATATATAGAAAATTATTTAATTCCTCTTTTAAGTCTTACTAACAAATCTGATCGAGGCTAGCTCGAGCTTGAGCCCTTGACAATATTACTACACGAGCCAAAAATTAAGCTGGAGAGCTCAAGTTAGTTAATGAGCTTGAGCCGGCCCAACTCATTAACTAGATGGGCTGAGCTTGAGAAGCTCGTTTCGTTAGCTCTCATCATAACAATAAACTCAATCATCATCAACATCATCATAATCAACATACCCGGTGTATTCCCTAACAAGTTGGGGTTGGGAGGTCTGTTGTACGCAGACCTTACCCTTGTAATTATACAAGGAGACTGTTTCCATAGCGACCCAAGGTTCGTTGCGTCGTTTGATTTTTTTTTTCTAGAAATTTCACTAATAAAAGAAGCACTAGAATTTAATTGAGTCATTTTGATCTAGTCCATTATTAGAAGAATTGTCAACAATGACTCTTCCAGCTCCATTGCACATATGCAATGGACATGAACAATAAACTCAATCAAGTCATTTTTATTTTTTTTGGGCAAGTTTAGACACACACAACTCGATCGGGGCTAAATTGGTACTCACCATGAAGACCTTGGCGCCAGAATTGAGGGCGTTGATGATCATCTTCCGCTCGACAGGCCCAGTGATCTCGACCCTCCGGTCGGCCACCACGGGCGGCGGAGGGGAGCAGACCCAGTCGCCCTCCCTGACGTGCCTGGTGGCCGGGTCGAAACCAGGCAGGCCGCCGGCGTTGTACCTGGCCTTGGCCTCCTTCCGGCAGTCCATGGCGTACCGGATTTGATTCCTGAACTGCCTCTGTAGGGCCGCCACGAATTGCAGCGCTTCCTTGGTGAGGACGCGCGCGAATTCAGGGTCATACCTTCCCCTGATATCGACGCCGTCCGGCACGTCGTACCCCACGGCGGCGGTTTGCTTCTGCCTTGGGGCCGAAGGGGTGTTGACGGAGCTTTCAAAGCCCACCATATTTGGTTTTGGTTTTTTGATGGTTGACGAATGAAGTTGTGTGAGTGTGTGTAGGTGAAGGTGGTGGAAGCAAGACGAGGGAGATATATATTTATGCACAATATAAACTTAAACGGTGGCGGATGAGTCCAATTATTATTATTCTTATATTTATTTATTTATTTTGGGTGCAAAATTGCTTCACTTTATCTTTAGGGAAGTGCAAGTGCGGTTTGTTAATTAAGAATCATAACGTAGGTAACGATTTTAGCATTCATATATATGTGCATTGTTAACGTTAAAATATGCAAATTAATTTGCAATACATCAACAACATAATATGATGATAAGTTGATAACGGTAAAATAATATGTACTGAGTGCGGTTCATTGACATTCGAATTTGGCTTCAACCAAGTCAAACGCGAATTCATTCGAAGCGTTAACAACAAGTCGAATGTAAAGATTAAAATAAAAATAATTTTATATAATTTTTTAGGTTAATATTAAAAACGGGTCGAGTTGAATATCGTTTTCCAGATAAATCGAGCTTGTCTCAACTTGATGAACAAAGTTCAAATATCACACCTTTACAGAAATCATAGCATCATGATCACTCATCACATAAAAGTCATAATCATTCATCTATGATGTAAGTAACTACTAATAGATAATAGTTAGTGCATGAAGCACACGAGAGGCTAGTAGAAAAAGAGGCACGCAAAAATACGGAATGAATTTGGCTTTAAACAAGTCAGACGCGAATTCATTAGAAGCGTTAATATAGTCGAACTCGATGGTACTTAATGTGTTGACCAAATATAATCCATAGTTTACTTTATGTATATGGAAATGATGAGAAGGTGATGTTGTACAGTTTGTCATGTTAATTTTCAATGGAATTAGAAGTAAAAGACGGATTATATTAATTTGGTGAGGGGATAAGCATGAAATGTTGTAATAATAAAAATAATAATAAAAATAATAATAATATGTGGGGATAAGAAAGAGTATGGGGTGGGATTGGAAAACGGAATGATGTTTGTTTGTGCGTCAGCTAAATGAACACACGGATATGGGCAGAGATTAGAAAATTACAATTATAAATTGCCCTCTTGTATACTGTGCCAACCCACCTAGGGAGATGCAATTTTGCTAAGGATAATACTAATCTATATCTATCTATATATATATTAAAGCGGAGCAGCTGCCAAATTCCCGCTCAAAATCTATTAAATGTTGTACATTATTTGATAACTAATCTCTTCTTAAATTTTGCATTAAATTTCCACTTAGTATTAAATTTGAGAATAATGAATACATTTGTTCATGTATGTTAGGAAACCGTGCATAGCTCCTAATTTTTGTCTATCATGTTTAATGTACACTTAGTTAAGTAGCTTGGGAAAAAAATCATCCAAAAAACATTTCTCATTTAGATAAAATTTTTGACAATTTCTAAGTATGATATAATTAAGTTTATATTTAATTGTGCATTGGGACTTGCACGTGGAAAATTCAAACAACAAAAAATTATTATGTGTACAAAAACTTAATTAAAAAATAGAATTATCATTATAGATAATTTATGTATAATAATTCAAATATATTATGTTATTTTTTATTATCATATATAGAGTGAAAATAATATACACAAAATATACTTTAAGGTGGTTATCTATTTTAGTTATAATAAAAGGGCTCCAATAGTTTACGACTTAATAGAATAACATGCTAATTATTGGTGATATTTTCTAAATATCTAAAATTTAATACAAAATTCATTCACATGGTTAGTAAAAAATTACAAACTTACACAACTAAATTTCATATTTGTTTATTTTTATTTTATTTTCTAATAAATTATTTTAAAAATAATAAAAAAAGAAAGATAGAGAGAGAAAGAATGGAGTTATATCTGTTATAAATAAAGTAATTTATTCTAAAAGGAATAAATTTTTTAAAATAAAATAAAATAAAAAACACCATCTATAGGCATTAAGGACGAACTTACATGTCCATATGAAATATATATCTAAAACACAAAATAACCTTTATATGGTCCGAAAAAAAAAATTATTAATTTAGGTTCTTTTACAAATATCAACCATGAATATGAACAAACGAAACAAAAAAAAAAAGATATAAGCAAACTTAGAATTCGAACATGATATCTAAACTTAATTTTATTTATGAATTAAAAATAGATGATATTTCAGAACTGATATTAAAAAAAATAAAAATGATAACATACAATGGGGAGAGTGACATTATTTCAAAGAGGTATAACTCATGTCATTAACTATGAAGATTGAAGAAAAACTTATACTGAATTTGGTTTGAGTGAAGGTGTTCATTGGCCCGAAAATATAAAGTTTGTTTACTTTATTTATTTTTAGTTAGTATAATTTTTTATTTTTTGTCAAATTATTGAATAGGCCATCTCAACATGTTCATACATTTTTTTTTTCATTTATCACATGTGTTAGTTTTACTTTTTATCATTTTAGAGTTATATATTACATTTAAATATTTTATTATTATTGTTTAACAATAACTCTCTCAATATGTATTTCTGACAAAGTAAGTTAAATTATGATTATCATAAATTCAATGCAAAATAAGTGTTGGCTATTGATCGATCCATTGACATTTATCATCTTGATCGTTACCTTATTATGACCTGAAAATCTACAGAAAAATAAAAACATCTTGAAATTATATAATTTATTATATATAGACATTTGTACTTTTATTTTTCAACTTCAAGATGGACATAAAGTGATACAATTTGTATACATAATAAAAATTAGATGATTTAGTTTTGAACATTACATCGGAATTTGGTTTCATTTATGAGTAAGAAATAGACTAATATTGTGGAGTTATATTGTTAAAAAAAAAGGAAATGATATAAAAAGAGAGAGAGAGTCTCAAGTCTCAACCATAAGAGATGAGAAAGAAATAATGACGATATAGTCTTGACTCGAAAGAATGATTTATATTTATTATCCAATTATTTAGTTGATTTTTTGTTATATATGAGACATTTTATATGGGTTTTAGTTCATTTGATTGAATTGGTTGAGCTTAAAATAAATAGTTGTTTTAATTTATTTATTTTTAGTCGATATCATTTTTTATTGAGACCGACATCTGAGGTCATTTAAATGGCTGTGATTAAAGTGGTTGCCCTCATTTTAAGTTATTTATTTATTCATAATTATGCAACTATAACTTTTTATAAATAAATATGGCATAATGTATTAATTATTGTTAATTTTTTGTTATTATAACACATGTTTTGTTAAGAGAATGATGATAATATAAATCGCTACTAACTTTTGGCAATAAAATTAAATAAGGCTTACTATAATACATCAACTACTTTTTTCTTATCATATATCATAAATATTAGTTTTATAAAAATAATATACTTTTTTATAATATATATAGTGTATTTTATATGCATTCTTTTTTATCTTATGAATTCACTTCCAAAAATTATATTAAATTTTATTTCACATTAATTGCGCGCAAAAAATAAATAACTTTGTTATTAACATGAATATTAACGATTACTGTGCCTATTTGTAAGTTTGCAAAAGGTGATCCATCTTGCATGCCAGTCTGAAAAAATTACTAAAATTTATTTAGATAATTTTTTTTTAAAAAAAAGAGAGAAAAATATGTGGACCTAATTTGAAACATGCAGTTCAAATTGAGTCATTTTTGTTTTTTATTTTACTTATTCAAATTATATTTTTTAATTGAATTATATTTCTACATGTTTATTTCAATTATTTCATATCAGTTTACCTATATAATAGTAAGAATGTCTTTATTATGCGAGAATGATGAAGTTTCAAAGAGTATAATTAATGTGAAAAATATTTTTCGTTGAATATCATAAATTATTATTTTAATTTAAATATATGGTATTTTGTACTCACAACCAGTTATATGTTGTTTCCCGGAGTCACCGATTCCAATTGTTTGATGATTGTTATTTATGATAATGGTCATAATGAATACATTTCATCGATTACTAAGATTATATTCATGAGAATATATTGAATATATTAAATAAAATATTT